CGGTCATCATTTGCGGCATATTTTGCACACCGTTTGGACTCAACACAAGAGTTTCGCCACAATTGCTCACAAGTGAAGACATTTGCAGCGAAGTGTTGCTTAGAAAACAATTATTGCCATTAATTTCATACGACATTCCCATCCTTTTCGAGACTATTGTCTCCTTCGGCGGTCAATGGAGGGACCAATTGAGACACAAATCGCACCAATTATTCAGATTTTATTTCCCGTCAAAGTGTTTATAATTTAAACCTATTTTTGTGACAAATTTAACGCAAATTAGCGATTAATACGTGAAATGAATGCAAAGATCACACAATACTTACAAAACATTGGTTTTCAATGAGAAATGCATTCATTCGTGGATTCATTGAAAACATGCATTTGTTTCACACAAACGTATGACTCGTTTGCTATAATCGTGTCGTTATTATAGTGAACACTCGCGACCAAACATTTAATCGCAAAATAAAATCAAAATTGAGTTTTCATTTCGCAAATCATTTATAAAAACAACGATTTATTCGTTGCATTCAACGGGATATCAAATGTTTGTGTATTTTTGTGGTACTTTTCATACGTTTTGTGCTATGATTCGTGTATTTATTACGTAACCCTTGTTTCCATTCATTTCAATGCATTCACGCCTCCATTCACTGCACGTACTTATTGTACACGTGTTTGTCTGCTCGCAAACTACAGGCGCGCCAAATCACTGCGAGTATCACCTCCCCTTCCGTCCCCTTTTACCCCTTCCCTTACACATCCCTGTCCACAAGCACTTGTTATACAAGTTTTTCCATTCTTCGTAACCATCACCTTAGGTGTCATCCCTTTCCACTCCTATTATCCCTAAATTGTTTTCAACGGTTCATATTAAATGTATGACTTATACAACAAAACTACTAATTCATAGCTTACGGACAAATACAATATCAATACATTAGCATTGATTCCTTATAAAGTTATCAACAGCATCCAGGTCATCGACAAACTTTTAACCATATCTAACATTTTCAATGACACGAACAATTAATCTTTTATTATTTTAATGTTTTGTATTT